GGTAACCGGGCTGCTGCGGCTGGGACGGGTAACCGGGCTGCTGCGGCTGGGGCTTGTAACCGGGCTGCTGGGGCTTGTAACCGGGCTGCTGGGGCTTGTAACCGGGCTGCTGGGGCTTGTAACCGGGCTGCTGCGACGGGTAACCAGGCTGCTGTGATGGGTAACCAGGCTGCTGCGACGGGTAACCAGGCTGCTGCGACGGGTAGCCGGGCTGCTGGGGCTTGTAGCCGGGCTGCTGCGACGGGTAACCAGGCTGCTGGGGCTTGTAGCCGGGCTGCTGCGACAGGTAAGCAGGCTGCTGCCAGGGTTTGGAGCCAGACCTTGGTTGGAAGGCATTAACCTGGTTCTTGGGCCCATTGCCTAGCAGCTGGGATACATAGCCAGACTGTGGTTGGTGGTGAGGCTGCAGCTGGGATGGGTAGCTGGGCTGCTGGGGCCGGGGCTGGGGCTTGGACGGGTAGCCGGGCTGCTGAGGCCGGGGCTGGGGCTTGGACGGGTAGCCGGGCTGCTGGGGCCGGGGCTTTGACGGGTAGCCGGGCTGCTGGGGCCGGGGCTTTGACGGGTAGCCGGGCTGCTGGGGCTGGGGCTTTGACGGGTAGCCGGGCTGCTGGGGCTGGGGCTTGGACGGGTAGCTGGGCTGCTGGGGCAAGGGCTGGGGCTTGGACAGGTAGCTGGGCTGCTGGGGCAAAGGCTGGGGCTTGGACAGGTAGCCAGGCTGCTGGGGCTGAGGTTGGGGCTTGGACAGGTAGCCGGGCTGCTGGGGCTGAGGTTGGGGCTTGGACAGGTAGCCGGGCTGCTGGGGCTGAGGTTGGGGCTTGGACAGGTAGCCGGGCTGCTGGGGCTGAGGTTGGGGCTTGGACAGGTAGCCGGGCTGCTGGGGCTGAGGTTGGGGTTTGGACAGGTAGCTGGCACCCGGGGGCTGGTAGCTCATGTCCCAAATGCCAGGTGCAGAGCCATGATAGGAAGCTGTTGATAAAGTATCATCCAACAAAGTTACATCATCTATCACCTCTTTAAAGAGAAAAAAAAAAATCAAGTTTCTGTCTCAAAACCACAAAGTCAGTGAATTTAACATGTTCCAGATAACAAGTCTAAATTAATTTCACTCAGTTAAATAGACATTTAAACTTCTTGAGTGTCTTCTTGAGCATCTTGAGTGTAACTGTAACCTGTAGCCTTACATTTAATGCTTGCCTGAAGCTCTCCAATATTCAGCATCCATAGCAGCACCACACTGAAAAACAAAGACATTTTAAACAGTCATTTTAGAAACTTTAAATGTGTAACATTGAACAGAGACAGAAACACTTGAGTTACCTCAGAAGAAGTCGCATGGCTTCAGCCAGAGAAAAGATCAAATGCAAACTGAAATGCTTCTATCTGACTGCAGCTGACCCAACACAACCAAAAGTCTGTCTTCCTTCCACAGAGGAGCAGTAACGGGTAACCTGCAGTGCACCTACTATAACCTGTTCTGACAGCCAATCACAGCTCTCCGTTCCTAAATGACTGATTGGAAACAGGTGGAGGCAATGAAGCTGGGTTCACTGTCAAACACAGGTGTCCTTCATTTAAAGTAGTGTCAATCACTCTTCTTTGTTCAGCCTCTACCACTTAAACACTGAATCATGACAATGCACCTTCCATGTAAAAACGTTGGTATCATTTTAGTGTTTGCAAAATGTAAAACAATGAGATTTGTAGAATCAGAAGTAGCCAGATAAGGAAAGCATCACACCGCCGTGCTCCAATGAATTTTACAATGAGTGTGAGCTCTTGTTTAATGGACTCAGAAGGCCTCACACTATATATTTCCCCCCTTGTTTGTATAATGCAGAGTGCATGTATTCTGCAGGCCAGTCATACTGCATATTGGGTCAGTCACAACTCATCATCCTTCTTATGTTTGCATGTTTCTCTGGGGGATGTTTGCTTTAGGTTTTCACACCTTTTATTGCCCCAAATCAGGTAACTAGAGTAATTTTCGAAGCTAAATTTATTTACAATTTTCAAAAGGTTGACGTCACCTATAAGCAACAAATGTGAAGTAAATTATCCAGGTGTCCATGACTGAACAGCTCTATTAAATCTTTGAGGAGGCAGATACGCTGTGTAGCTACAGAAATACTTTATGTCATGATGCTGACTGTAATAAAAGTCAGCTTTTAGTGATATTTAAATAAAAATGGTTTGAAACTGTCTTGCCAAAGCAAAAAAATAAGGACACATATCCCAAACTGAACAGATAGAAAATGTAGAATAGTGATAAATACAATCAAGAAATACATTAGTCATGAAGTAGACAAATACACACAGGTTAAAATGTCTTATCTTGATTAAGAGGACACCTACTTTCCCTTTAATTTAGATTTTAACCAGACCTAAAGCCTTTGTCCAGAGCAGCATGTTATATACAGTGATCTAACCATCTCTAATGTTCAACTTATCACATTTTTATCTTGATTTGGCTTCATTTTTCTCACTTAACCCCCGTTTCAGACATCCTCCCCAGCTCCTGCTCAGCCCTGCTGACAGTCAGCAGTTTAACGGAGCACAGTGTCTCATTATATGAAACCTTTATGTTCCCTGTGGGGAAACTGTGTTATTGCTGCAGCAGTGAAGGGTATAGAGTTCACAGTATAACAGATTATTAAAGATCATTGAACACCAGTTGTTACAAGAACAGTGAGGACCCTAAAATAACAATAAAGAGATTTAAAAAAACAGCTTTTTTTGGATAGATTTACAGGTAAAACTTACATTACCAGATGCACACATGCAAAAGTGTGCACTATATATACAGAAATATGTCTGGATCTGCAAATGTGCACGCTGTTCTAATAATCTGTAGTCCATCCGATATGCATTGTGGTATGTGTATATAGGTATGTCTATTGTAGTTGTTGTATTGTGGGATATGTATTTTATTGTGCCTTCCATGTTTATAGTGTATAGTGGTTGTGTGATGTTTATTTAAAACAACTTTTAAACAGTGGCTAATTTAACGGATACTGATACTGTTTTTGAAGAAAAACTCAGAGGAAGACAACCATGAGCCACACTGTTGTTTCATCAGACATCCGACAGTGTTTCTACTCAACAATATTTGATTAATATGGATGTATAACCCTATAGGTGATGATCAAAAATTGCTGTACATGCAACAACAGCCAAAGTGCACTTAAGTGGGTCCTCATTAGTGCATGGGCTGCTGTTTTGTAGCCTTGCAGTTTCTTTAGGGAAAGTGAGGCATCTCTGCTATCGAGAGACATATCATCAGAATTACACTGAGCTGGTCTCCAGTGTAGTGCATTAAATCTATTACAGAGTTAAGGGCAAATGAGTTTAAGGGATGCTTGTATACGTTCCAAATATAGATTGATTCATTTACATTTTATCTCAGGTTGCTATTTATTGAATCTTGTATTAACAGACCTCTGTGAGGTCAGGCATACATAGTAGAGCAATGTCCCTTTTGTCCCTTGTAAAGGCTGAGCTCCATCTGCTGGTCATCTGCTAGTACTGCAGTCACCAAAAAGCTTACGTTCAACCCACACTCAATAGGTTACTCCGTGTAGTTGTCAAGGGTTACTGTTGCGAAGCATGCTAGATGTACACCATAATACATTGAGTGAAAAGTTATTTGTAAGCTAAAGGTTCCATTTTCTAGGAGATCATTCTCACATCATACACACCAAGTTTACACACAAGGATAAAAATTTTCAATTTTAGTTTTATAAACTAGGACCAAAGACCATGCCTTCAACACATCTATCATCATACTTATCTACAATCCAGAGACCCAACATTCATCCCTCCACCCTCATCCCTTCATTCCTCACTCTTCATCTCTTGATCCTCATCCTGTCATCCCTAACCCTTCATCCATTTGTCCCTTCGACCCTCATCTCCTCAACCCTTCAACCTTCATCCCTTATCCATTAGACCCTCATGCATTCATCCCTGACCTATCATCCCTCAGTCCTTGGACCCTCATCCCTTCGTCCTTCATCTCCTACCCTCATCCCCTTATTCCTTGATCCTCGTCCCTTCATACCTCACCCTTCATCCCTTGATCCTCATCCTGTCATCCCTGACCCTCTATCCATTCATCCCCTTGACCCTCATCCCTTCGATCCTCATCTCTCAACTCTTCATCCGCTTTCCCTTCATCCCTCGTCCATTCCAACCTCATCTCTTCATCCCTCATCCATTCCACCCTCGACCTTCACCCATTCATTTCTCACCCTTCACCCCCTCATCCCTCCATCTTCATCCTTTCACCCTGCACTCTTCATCCCTCAACCCTTATCCCTTCGTCCTTCATCTCCGAACCTCATCCCCTTATTCCTCGACCCTCATCCCTTCATTCCTCACTCTTCATCCCTTGATCCTCATCCTGTCATCCATAACTCTCTATCCATTCATCCTCTTGACCCTCATCCCCTTATCCCTTCAACCCTCATCTCTTCATACCTCATCCCTTCGACCCTTATCCCTTCAATTTCATCCCATCATCCCTCATCCATTCAACCCTCGACCCTTATCCACTCATCCCTCACCCTTCATCCCCTCATCCCTCCATCTTTTTCCTTTCATCCCGCACCCTTCATCCCTTGACCCTTATCCTTTCGTCCTTCATCTCCGACCCTCATGCCCTTATTCCTTGGCCCTCATCCCATCATTTCTCAGTCTTCATCCCTTGATCCTCATCCTGTCATCCATAACCCTCTATCCATTCATCCCCTCGACCCTCATCCCCTTATCCCTTCAACCCTCATCCCTTTGACTCTCATCCATTTGACCACCGACCCTCATCCATTTGACCTTCACCCCCTCATCCATTCGACCCTCCACTCCCATCCCTCCATCTTTTTCCTTTCATCCCGCCCCCTTCATTCCCTCGACCCTTTTCTCTTTGACCTTCATCTCCGACCCTCATTCCCTTATTCCTCAACCCTCATCCCTTCATTCCTGACGCTTCATCCCTCGATCCTCATCGTGTTATTCCTAACACTTCATCCATTCGTCCCTCGACCCTCATCCCTTCAACCCTTATCCCTTCGACCTTCACCCCATCACCCCCCTAATGCTTTCCTCCAAACCCTTAATCCATTATATGCAATAAACCATTCCAAATCTTTATCTTATTGGCGTGGTCTTTGTTAGCGAACTGGCCTGAGCCTTTACATGAGGTCATCACTCATGAGGAAACTGTTTGTTTCCATACACAAAGTTCGCCCATGAGACACAGAGATGCCTCACTTTCCCTAAGGAAACTGCAAAACACCATATGACAGCTGCCTGTGTTCTGATAAGTAGATGTCCTGCACTTCAGCAGGGTAGATACTTACTGACATCGTTCAATGGAAACAAGGCCAAAAATGATCTTGTTGCTTGTATAGCAGTTTTCCGTCATCACTTACTATATAGGGTTAGACATTCCCAGTGCTCTGTGACAGAGCAGAAAGATAGTGCTCCTGTTCAAATAAACACAAGAAGTTTGTGCTCTAGAGAAAGGATCAACACTCAGTGAAAAACCTAAGCCCTATGATAAGCTAATATGGCAAGGCTTAACTATACAAACCAATGAGCAGTGATAACTAGCATGTCTTTGGGGTCATCGGGTGGGAACCTCCTTTCACCAGTGTTTCGTCTAGTTGGTCCCACGACACCTCCAGGAGGCTAGACAGTGATCTCTAGCATCCCAGAGACACTCCCCTAATGCCAGGTCTCACTGCTCCCCACACTAACCCAACAACCTCCTTTACCTTACTTACACATGGCTCTCTCAGCCCAAACAGCACTGCCATCTTCAACCAAACCCAGGCTCCGTACATGTGAGCTCTAGGTAGAAGCAGGGCTGATACTACCTTTCCTAGCACATTCACCATACTCTATTTCACACGCTACATAGCATAACTACAATATAAGCTAAAGTTAAAGGAGCTAAATGAACTTACAGGATCAGCAAGCACACTCACCTTGCCGCATGGCCTAAAAAAAATGAAAGAAGGGGAAGTTGTACACTTATGACCCCAATAAGTCACATCAACTGTCAGAGGTTTAAATGAGTAAGATGGTCAAAGCTCAGGGAGTAACGTTGTGAGGAAGTAGTATGCCTCATTGTGTGCATACTGCATTTAACAGTGTGTACTTTTTAAGGGCAGCTGCACTAAAAGTAAAGAGAAAAGGTATGTAATTCGGAACGCACCCTAAATGTTTATAGATAGATAGATAGATAGATAGATAGATAGATAGATAGATAGATAGCCTTTATTGTCCCATGAGGACATTTGTTTTCACAATCTGTCACAACATTTGGATACACAAAACACCGCCAACAAACACCATGTACAAACACCACCACACATTGAGCAACATATGACCTCAGAAAATATTCTACACATGCTCTGTGCCACTAGATGGCACTAAAAGCCTGTG